CCGAAAACTGCGCAGTTCAAAATCAAACCTGTAATGATAAGTGGGCAGTAATTATACAATTCTGAAACTTCTTACTGAGAAAAATGTTCCACACTATGTAAAACTTTGAGCATTTGCGAAAAACCAAATTCACTGTAGGTTCTTCTGAGAACATTTATTGAGTCAGTGTTATTTTAGGCCGAATCGTGTAAATATTATACTTTCATTAAGGTCCACTAAAGTACCCTACAAATCTGTATCTCCATCTCCAGCGGGTCTTTCTGAATAAAATTTAGCATGAACGTAATATCTTCTCAGCGTGACCTACATCCAACCCAACTTATCGTCCTTTATTTTACAACCCTAACAATATTCGGTGAAGAGTACAAATTCCGATCTTTCTCATTATAGAACTTCCTGCAACCTCCTGTTACTTCCGTCCTCTTTGATCCAAATATTCTCTTCACCTCCCGGTTATCAAACACCAAGGTTTCATTTCAGAAAATATATAAGTATTTTTGACTGTGAGGCGCTAGGTACGGGATGGTGACAGGGTGGAATCAAGGCCGTACCTGCCTGTATGAGCAGAGCCCCTCTCCAGCCGAACGCCTGAATAAGCGCAGTGCTCAGCGGCGCCATGAGGAAAGTGCCGATCCCAGAGCCACATACGGCGATGCCCGTTGCCAGCGCCCGCCACTTTTCGAAGTAGAATCCGACAGCTATCACAGCAGGAACGTACACGAGCCCGAAGCCTATCCCTAGGACCACAGAGAGCCGGTTTTACATGACAAGTTTCTCATCACTACGATACACCCACCATTAAGGACATACTTCGTTGTCTTTGGGGGCTGTTGCAACCGAGTACAAAGTCAAATGTTACATTTATTCCCACAATGGCTTTACGATGTTTTATACGAAGCTAATTGCAGCGATCGGGTATTCTTTACGCTTTAGTGTGAGCGTAGCATGCCCTATGGGCTCCTCCATGTCTGTGTTTATATCTGTCGCGTTCTTCCAACGAGGCAGGTAAGTTCCAGGCCTCAGTTGGACTGTCCTCGAGGAATTTTGTCACCCACGGGGCTATACCACTTTCGGGGACCAAGCCGCCGCCTTCGGACACTCCTAGATAATTCCTCCAACGCCTACACCAAACCAGAATTATTTAATCTCTGGGGTCTTTACAACCAAGCCCTTCCTTGGCCTTCGTTGGAGCCTGGAGCTTTGTCCCCCCCCCCCTTAGGTCATTGTTGAATCATGGTTGGGCAACGATGACCTACGTGAAGTGGCGTGAAGAAAAGTATAGTCCAAAGAGTACACATTTCCAGTTTGGTTCATTCTTCACTCGATTCATTTCATACTTGAAATTTATTTAGTTTAGTTTCTGAAACTGGAACAGAATTTTACTTCTCCTAATAGACTTGATCTTGTAAAATCTGAACATGAAGCTGCACACTTGTCCTCACCTCCCAGGACTCCATACGAGAAGAAGAGGTAGGTGACGCTGTTGGCGAAGTAGGACAGCAGAAAGCCGACAGCTCCCAGAGCGCTGCCAAGCATGCACACCGTTCTGAACCCGTAGCGGTTCGCTAGTGCGCTCACGAATGGGCCTGGAACACCAGAAAACAAGATTCTGATGATATTTACCTTGAATTAACCACAAATCAGAAAAGTTTCTAGCCACCAGCATCCCTGATAAGGCGTTATTTTGTTAAATATTCAGAAATAACAACATGGCGAAGGAGCGAATTCCGGAGGCAATATTCTGTAAAGTCTTTTGTGCGTTAATAAATTACAGACATGATGGTGGTACAAATTTTTGGTGAATGTATTATAGTTTTCGGATATTAAAAATCAATCCAGACGTAATCCAAGTTTCACAAAGATATCTAAACTGTGTAACTAATTCGCAGGTGCTTGCACAAGTCCTAATAGTTCAGAAAATGAAACACAATTTTCGCAAAGTTTCACCAAATCAGGGGCAGAGTAAGGGCTTAACCCCCCCCCACTTCACAAGAACAGTTTCTTGTGCTCCCTGCCCTGCCAAAAGTGTCCCGCGCACCGACACCACGAATTATGTGATTCTTCCTTCCTATGATAAAAGATCGATTAAATCAGGGGTTCTCAATCCGCGATCTTCTAAGACATCTAGATTTTTTTAATAACAGTCCTATTTGTTATGTAAATCCCCCTTACATTACACTTAGGCTACTAATCACTTACCGACCATAAGATAAAATCCCGCAAGTAGTGATCCAATGATTGATACTTTGGCCTTCGATTCATCGAATGCTTCAGATATATCGCTGAGAAACATGCCGAAGGCGAATATGATGCCATCGACGACGAGGTTGCAGAAGAAGGATGCCGCCACGATGACCCAGCCCCACCCGCCGTCTGGTGGGACAACAGTGAAGGTCGCGACCTCTGTCGGTATCTGGTCCTCAGCCCCATCATCAGCACAGAGACTGCACGATTCACGCTTGTCGGACACGCCTTCATCCTGCTGGGGGAAGGACGTCTCTGACATGACGACACCTGCCACCCCGTACTCTCAGCTCACCCTGTCTCCACCACCCTGCAAAAAGAATTGCGTCTCCACGTTGACACGAAGGAACTTGCACGAATCCCCAGGAACGCAATCAGAGCTATTAATGGTGCATGATCGTATTTCGTAGTTATTCAACCACCTTTGTTCAACTGTATCGGTTACTGGCATCGAAAAGAAGGATTGTTGTGGATGGTGGATTTGGAAAAAAGTGGAATTTTTCGATTGTGGTCTATTTTAATGTACTGACCCATAATTTTACCAAATGAACCGAGAAAGACCAATAAAAAACAATACTCTGGCTGAAATGCAAATTAGCTACATATTCATGTAAAATATAGTCGAACCCATTACTGCCGATAATCAGAATGCAAGGAATGTCAATATGCAGTGACTGATGTTATCAAGAATCGAAGTTGATTGAGAGACACCAGGAATAATGTATCGATTTCCGGAATGGAGAACACAAGTCCGACGCATCTTTGCAAGACGGACAAAGTAAATGTAGCAGGCACAAAAAGGACGGAACCTATGAAGTGTGTAAAAGCTACAAGGCTGTGTTTTTAACTACTACTCACCAAGCAGCAAAGCTGCTGTTGCTGCTGCCACATCTTAAATATTAAGGCTGACGTTAGTGGACAAGGTCACGCATCTAAAGATAAACCCGTTTGTATGCTGAGCAATTAGCTTCAGTCGCAAACCCGCAATCTTCAAATATTTACCTTTCCATCTCTCCTGAATTTATAAGTTTGTCAATTACAAGAGACCATACCGCGTTAAGTTATCATTAATTTAATTACTCAATTCATCCATCAATCCAAATTTATTTTTGTGTTAATTTCTATCAGTAATTTGAAATAATTTACATTTGTTGATTTCATTCATTTGCTTTTAATCAATATTTTCATTTCTGTTTATTAATTTTCATTAACTCAGTCTTTACATTTCCTCTTATAAATTTTGTATAGAACCCACGTTCATTTATTCATTCATTCAATTTTTCACTTCCAGTAATTTTGTTAATTTTAATCAATTTTAATAATACTCTAGGTTTCATTAACATTTTTAACTGCATTTTTTCCTTGACCACTGCCGTTGCACAGACCTGCCAGTCTGATATCGGA